CATTTAGATATGATGGGTCACATATTAAAAAAAAAATTAGTTTAAAAGTTATAAAAACTAAACAGCCTACAGTATTTTTACAGTCTTTATTTTACAGTTAAAATATATATTTATCAAATAAAGTCTAATGTTACAACTAATCATGGATCCCTTTAATATCTTTAAAACTGACCAAGTTTTAGTCACCTTTGTGTTGGCTCGTGTTTGCTGTAGCAGCTATTTTGAATCGGGTTGGCTTGAAATCATAAAAACAGTAGATTATTTCTAAGCAAAACCCTTGTTTGATAGTGCTCAGAATTCACCATGCATGGGATCAACATTTTATGATGGACGATTTTTATTTGTTATGAATAAACATTTTATTGGAGGGGTTAACTTTTCTGCCCGCTCCCCCTCAAGGCCGTCCCTCTCATCCATGCTGTTCCCCACCTGGTGGGATGGGCGGAGCCTCGGGTTGTGGTTTAATGATTCAAGGCCACAGCTGTTGAGTTAGACAGATATGGAAAGAGAAGGGACGAGGAAAGACCGAGAGAGAGTTGGAGAGGAATTTAATACTGACATTTCATTGTAAGTCAGGTAGAGACAGAAAATAGTAACTGAAAGTAAAGGTAAAGTAAAACTAGAGGGGTTGTTTGGTTTGTAGAGTCAGTCAGGTTACAGAAGCAACTCAACGAGACTTTAATCAGTGCAGGTTGATCATTTTGTCTCCTTTTGATCCATGCGGCCTTCACAGACTGAACACCTCTACTGACCACACCTCCTGCAGGTAAGCTTAACACTCAGTTTTAGACTTTTTATAACTGCACACCACATAAAAACAATGCGTTTACCTGTTAAAAATACACATTTCACAAACAAACACATGGATTTTAAACATCAGATCCAAGGCTGTTTTTATATAAATATATGTAATGTTAAATAATTAAAAGTAGAACAGGAACATTGGGTTTAAAAAACAATGATTTACTTGTGGTTATAAAGCCATAAAGTCCTGATGTAAAAGGCATCTTAAATAGACCGGAGCTGTTTTTATTACAGTACATCTTATGAGGATTTGTCTGTAGTTACACATTCCCATGAATTATTAATAAAGCAGCAGGAAGTGTACAGTGTGCTGGCTGCACGGGTGTGATGATGGAGGCTCGTGTTCCTGCTGCACATTTAGAGAACTGTCCGATTTCCCTGCCCACAATCACTTCCTGCACACAGATCCTAAACGCAGGTATTWTTGTAGTTCATATCTGTCAGTGATAGATCTGGGATGAATAAAGAAGCAGCAGAATGAGCCGGTTTCTGGGGATCTCTGTCTTGCCTCAGGTTAATCTCAGTTGAGGTTTCTCATTATTAAATGTTAACTTGTGTGCTATAAAGGTTATAACTCCGATTTGTGCTTGATTTATTTCTTTATGGTTCCTCAAAGGCTTACATATTGTATTTGTGCACAGTTCTTATTGGTTAATAAAACCCCCCTAAGGCAAATCTCTKTTTACAGGTGATTCTGCAGTTGTATGAGCTTCCATGCCTTCTTATCAGGCCGGTGTCTCTTCAGCTGATAAAGCACAGCCGAAAATGTCTCATTTCTGTGGCTGGAAGTGCAGCATAGATCCTAATCTGTTTTTATCTTCTGTCCGGATCTTCATCAAAGCAGCAGAAACTTTATAAGTCCTCTGTCAGAGTTTTTGCAGCTCTATTACTCTCCAGCTTTATGAGTCGCTCGAACGTCCCGTCTAATCTCYGAGCCGTTCAATGTTCAGGGTGAGGCAGCAATAATTTGGGGTCACACGGAGGGTGCAACCATCGTGAGCAAACAGCTTGTTCAGTGCAGGAGTGTGTGTTTAGTTTCTTATTATGCTCTGGTCAATACTGCATTCAATGCTCTCCTAATATCTGCAAAATTAAAAAAAGATAAAATGAAAAAAAAAGAAATGTTTGCAGAGATTTTGTAAACAGGTTGTGTGTGTTTACCATGTCCCCACATGTTGCTTTGTTTACTGAACTCAATTTAAACCCCTACAATTATATTGGTGGTTAATAATTTGTGACATTACTGCACAAATGCATGTAGTGAAAATGCATGTTAATGAATAAAGCTGCTGGGATGTGTCAGCCTTCTCTCAGCTTCCTGCTGACTGTCCATCATTAGCCTGCATTATTCAGCAGTCCTCGTGCTGWTCCACATGCACGGGGAATAAATTGAGTCTTTTTACAGCATACACTTATAATAGTGTCCACACATAGCAGCATTCACAATATAGTTTTCCTGCTATTTACTTTTCTGTTTCTACTTTGTGCTATTTGAGCCAATAACATATCAAACATTCTGCTCATTCTGGAGATGTGACAGGTTTTGTAACTTTTATACTTCTGAAAATATTTAACCTTGTAAACAAATCTTTTTCCTACAGAAATTCACAGAGATCTCTTAAATTCCATCCAAACATTGTTTTCTGAAAGCTGCTTTATACTGTACCTGTCTGTCTGGGTCTTCTTGTGTTTTTTGTTTTTAGCTGTTGTTCTAACACTTGTAACATTAACTATTTTTATATACATTTAGCTTTTAGGTATTTTTCTAGGTTTTAGCTGTTGTTCTATTACTTTTAACTTTATACTTTCAGCTTTTAGCTTGATTTAGGTTTTAGCTGGTGTTCTGCTACTTGTAACTTTAAATAGTTTTTAGCTGCTTTTAGTGTTTAGATAGTTTTAGTTTTTAGCTTTTGTTCTGTTACTTATATTTACCCAGTTTTTGCTACTTATAACTGAACTAATTGTAGTTTTTAATTGTCTTTCCGCTACTTGTAACTTTAACTAGCTTTTAGCTACTTTTAGCTTTTAGCTGTTGTCCTGCTGTTTTTAGCTCTACCTAGTTGCTTTTGCTACTTTTAGCTTTGAGCTACTTTTAGTTTTTAGCTATTGTTCTGCTACTTTTAGCTTGACCTAGTTTTCTGCTACTTTTAGCTTTACATATTTTTGCTACTTGTAGTTTTTAGCTATCATTTTTGCATTTTTTAGTCAGCCTTTAGCTTCTTTTGTTGTTTAGCTAACATTTAGTTTACTTCAGAAAGTGTTTTAACATTTTAGCATCTTTTTGGAGAAACCCCCAGCTGCAGACCGCAGAACAAGGCGGGGTCGGATAATAGGCGAGGTCGGACGTCTGACCCTTCCCTCAACTCTAAAATTAATCAACCCCAGATGCTAAATTCTAAAATTAACCACTCCCAATGTTTCAAGCCTCSCATTAAGATGTTCCGACAAGCTGTGACCACGCCCATTATACGTCTGACCACGCCTACTGTCCGACCCTGCCCCGATCTGTGGACCGCAGCCGGGGGTACTTGTTTTTTTTTTCTTTTTTTGTGTAAAATGTTTGATTTGTCTTGTTGCAACAAATCAGTCTTTTATTTTGAAATATATTCCCTTCTTCCTGCAGTGATGGAGAAGCAGGTCCAGGACCTGAAGCATCAGCTAGAAAAGCAGTGTCTGATCAACCAAGAACTGCAGAGGCAAAACAAAGACTTGGGTGAGTAAAACAAATGTTATATCTCCTTCATTTAAAGTTGCAGACAGCCAAGATAGAAGGGCCTAAACTGAATATAACAAAAAGTCAATCAAGGCAGCAGCATGGACTGATGGCTGATGTTATAACTAAAAGTTGCTCATACACAGAAATAATTTTTTTACCAGTGTTTGCGTCGATGATCTGTTATTGATGTTGATGTGATGCAAGTTTCCTTCAATGCTTTTTTGCATTAAGTACTTTTCTTCCTGTTTTTTATTCCACAGAACAACGTCTAAGAGAGAAAGATAGGCTTTTACAAGAGCTGCACAGTCAATATCATGATCTCGGTACAACATCACTTCACACACATCGGCTGTATAGATGCACACATTTTAAGTGACCCGAGATGATTTTTTGTTTGGGTTTGTTTGTCCTCATCAGAGTGTCCCTCCCTGAGCAGCAGCGAGGGTGAACCTGAATTCAGAAAGAGTCGCGCGGCTGTCTTCGCCCCCGAACCGATTCACGAAGCTGTGGAGATCTCACGCAACAAAGTCAAGAAGACGGTCAGGTTAGTGATGAGAARATGTCCGCTGGTTTTTATTAGTATTACCAACCTCAGAGTAAAGCACGATAGTTTGTATGTTGGCTGATTGAACTCTTTCCATCACCAGCGAGACCAGTCTGATTGTCAAAGCCATCCAGAAGAACGACTTCCTGAGCCGCCTYGATGATGAGCAGATAGCCATGATGGTGGACCTTTTAAAGGCTTCTCAGTGCAAACCTGGGGAGGAGGTCATCAGCGAGGGGTCTGAAGGAGACAGCATGTACATTGTTGCAGGTGAAGACTTGATTTGAAAATATCTACTGTTCCATTTTTACTTCAAATACCAGCATTAGCTTACTTTTTTTGTGCAACATATTTAATTTGATAAAAATTCTTATTTGCTTGTCCTTTTAGGCGGCGAGCTGATTGTCACCCAGGCTGGCCGGGACCTCCGGACTCTCACCAAGGGAGATGTTTTCGGAGAGTTGGCCATCCTGTACAACTGCAAACGAACAGCAACAGTCAGAGGTATACCTCTTTAATAAACAGTGTAATAATGCCTATTGGGTGATAAGTGGAAAACAAATGTTTTGTGAAAAGCAGACATATCATGCCAAATCCACTTTGTTAGCCGTTAAATGTATTTTGTCGTGTACTTCTCTAGGAGTGCAGAAAAGTTGAATTTAGTCTCTCCCGGTGCAGCACAGACTTCTTTATATTTTGTTTGGGTCATATTTTTCAACTTGTTCAGTTTTCTGTATTTTATATGGTTTTCTGAACTACTATGTCAAATTATTTGCGACAAATCAAACAAATAAGGTCTGGACTTACCATTACAATTTGGACTTCTTCATTCTCTTCTCACTGTGGGTCAGACTCTGACTCCAACATGTAAGACTGGATGGACAAGTCTTCCCKTTGTTGACCTCTTATTTTGGAAAGAAAAAAATTCCTGTGTTGCTATATAGTCGTAAACCCCTCTATCAAACTGGAATGGACCAGTCTGGAAGCTGGAGGGGGGCGGGGCATGAAGCGTCCCATTCAGATTTAAAGAAACAGCCTCAAAATGAGACACATTTYGGAAAAGTGGTGAAAAAGGGGCATGTGGAGTTTGCAATAAGGAGGAATTCAGACCAAATGATTGCAGTTTCATTTTATTTAGACCTAAACTGCATGATTTTAATGWGCAAAATAAGGATTTAATGCTAATGGCACACAAGAAATGGAGTCAATTGTTTCTTTTGGTGAAGGAAACTAAATCAAAAACAATGTAAAAATGACTGCAACAGCAGCGAGGAGGTCAAATGGTGCTGCCWTGGTAATTCAATCTTACTGAATAAGCACTAATACAGTATATTATATATCTAATATATTTTTTGTGTCTATGTTGCTGCATCAACTATGCCAACACTAATCTTTCAAGAGGACCACTCATGATTTTACCAGACTTTTTGTTATGAATAAATAGCGACCAATAAGAAGTCACTATTTAAAATTTTTTACTCATATGGCAAAGCTGTTTTTTTAATACCTAACTTTGCTAAAAGTATGATCTCAACTTTTGTTTTCTTGATTCTTTGGTTTAAGATGCTTCTAACTCRGTTTGGTTCAAGAAATATATAATAACTAATCTATATCAGTGAACTTTTACCTTTAGTGAAACTAGAGTGCTTGAAAATAAATCATGAAATAGGTGAGGAGCATCCACAGACTCCAGGGCTTGAGAAAAGTCGATAAAATTAATTTAGAAGCTCATTTTCTGTAAAATAAGTTGTATTAATATGAGTAATAAAGTGTCCGTATGATCAAAACATATTTTGTGGCTGAATATGTTTTCCTCACGATGCAGCAAAGACCCTTGTTCATCTGTGGTGTATGGAGCGACAGACCTACAGAACTATTATTACCAACAAGTCCAAGAAGAAACGGGAGCAGCTCATGGGCTTCCTGAAGACGTGAGGATTTTATTTTTTCTAMYGAATGTTCTTTGAWACRTTYATCTGCTCTTTGATCATGTTTTTAACTTTGTTTCTTCATTTCACCAGGTCTCACACTCTGAAGGACTTAAACGATATGCAGTTGTCAAAGATTATCGACTCTATGGAGGAGGTGAGGACCCCCAAGGAAATTACTTTTTCTTAGGAGAGCACATTCTAGTACACTTAATTGAACAAACTTAAAACACTTGGAATGTAGTTGCTCATCGAGGTACATGTGAAAAAAAATGATAGCAATGCARAAAAACAACCTGGTATGTATCTGGTGTAGGAGGGGAGCTTAAGGTGGCGTTAAGCTTCTCCTACATCTCTCATACACAAGGTTATGAGGAAACTTTTACCAAGGTATTTCTCATTAATTGTAAAAATCTTGACTGTGCGAAGTGAAAAGTGACACAATAAGTGAACGTTCAGACGAGTTCAAGTTGATTCATAAAAGACTATGCAATCATTTATTTACACAAATTGAACAAATCACAAATTACACTTAATTGTGGGTATTCCTATAAAAAGTGTCCAAGTTAAATGAGATAAAACCCACGTCCGAATTTCAATTCACATCAACTTAGATTACTTATATAGAACAGTAAAACATCAGTTCTGATGTTAACAACCAAACAATTTTACTGGCACTTTCAGCTTAAGTTTTGGCAAATTAAGAGCAAAGAAAAGGAGGAAAGTAAGGTTAGTAGGTTACTACTTTTACTTTATCAAAGTGTGGGTCAACCGGATCAGTACGTCTTTTCTAAGCTCAGGGGTCCACATGACACGTCACCCCGAACACGTCAGCTTTACCTGGTGATGTCTTCTTAAGACACCCTCTTGGTAGGAACTGTCTCGCCTCCGATCAGTTAGGGAACTGATTATCGGCTCGCTTACCGGTCATTGGCGATGTAGGTGTTTTTCAGGTAACTTTTCGTCTGTTTCAGTCCAAGCCAGAAAAATTCAAGCTGTACATACGGTCCCTTCTTTTCAAAATAAAATCTCCCCATGGGAAGTAAAACACACTTTAGAGCCTTGAAGCCTCGGGGTGGGACTGCCGGCGGCGTGCGGGGTCCCGGCTGTTAAGTCTTCCCTAGTTAGCTCATGGGCTAAGACTTAAAAAGCCAAACTGAGTCCCTCCGGAGAGAAACTCAGCTGTCTTCCTAGGTTGGAGTCAGGAAGAAAAGTGTGTCGCTCAAAGCCATCCGGGTTAGTAAAAGAAACGGACAATCTTTGGTTCCGCCCTCAGGATTAGAGATGAGTCAGAGAAAGAAAGATAAAGATTTGCCAGGGCGCCAGCCCAAGGTTAAAATTCTATGGCTGTTCACAACAGGATGATAACCTTTCTTCAGCTTTCTTCTGATAGACTCTAAGAGAAATCACTGCAAAACATTWATGATGATTAATTAACATTTCTGTTTATAATTAGTTCTGAACATTCTGTTAGTCCAGATAAATGAAAGATTTTCTCAGGAAAAATCCACAATTATATTACTGTGTTCACAGTAAAATAAAAACAGTGATTTACATAAAAACACAATGAAAACATTGTAATGAGATTCTCTGTGATTTTTTTATACCATTATTAATCTTTTAAGGCACGATAAAAGAAAAGAAGTGGTTCCACTTTTCTTGTGACAGTCATTATCATGATTTAACAAATGCATAAACATTCTCAGTTAAACAACAAATGAATCATGAACAGAAGAGATTGTTCTGTCCATTATCTGATTAAGAGAACTGAGGAGTTCTCTTCTACGGTTGGAATGACCTGTCATGGCCTAAATAGAGTTCAGTTTGTGACAGAGTTCCTGTCCTCTCGTCAGGCCTGTGCAAGGCCTGCTTTGAGGCAATAAATCTTGTTTCTTCACTCGAGGTGACCCCTACACTAGTACCTAATGGGAACCACATCTAGTATCAACCAGGTATGCCTCCTGTAAGTACAAGGCAACAAATCACTTCCTGTAGGTACCAGGTGTGTACCAGTAAGTACCAGTGAAGTACTCAGTATGGTTATTATGGTTAGTGGGGATGGATATAAAATCCGTATGAGCGRAGCCCCCCTAAGTGGGCCCATTGCTCTCCCCCAAAAATACACTGGTCTTTACTCAAACCTTCTCGTCCCTCGGATGAAGGACACAACATTAGAAACACTCAGTGTTCTGAGCTTCTCAGGATCCATAAAGGGGTCCCCAAGAATTCTTTCCTTTGACCACTCAGAGCCAGGCAGTGGTCCAAGCAGTGCAAAGAGGTTTGTGGTTCAATGCCACAGGCATCACACAGACCATTGTCATGGAGTCTCATCACCATTTTGTGGCGGTTGAGCAGAYTGTGCCCAATTAGGACTCCAACCAGTGTGCTTAGAGTTTTCCTTGTCAGGGCAATGAGAGCTTTCCCAAACCTTAGATTTGGGCCGTTAATCAGTTCCCGTGCCTGTCTACAGTCCGTCAGCTCCCTCCAGCGGATGGAGTGTTAATGTCTAATCCAGGCCTGTAGGGCAGTCCTACAGACTGTTGTTGAGGTACCTACATACAACAGGCTCTGGTCCTTTGAAGTAAGCCTGACTGCCAGCTTTTGCGAGGTAGTCAGCTGTCTCGTTACCATAAATGCCAGAATGTCCTGGTATCCATTTAACAGTGACGTTATCTCTCCCCAGTTGGTTGACTGCTTCAGCACACTCCCAAGCCAGAAATGACAAAGTGTGGCCCTCTGAGAGCTTTAACAGCAGCTTGGCTATTTGTTAGGATGAATATTTCCTTCTGTGTACACTGAAGGTCTTTGAGAGATGCCACTCACTGGTGGACTGCATAYATTTCAGCTTCAGATACAGTTGCAAAACAACCTAGTGGGTATTTATGCTCTCTGGTTGTGCAAAAATCAGCACCCCTGCACCTACTGACCCCTTCAGAAGGGATCCATCTGTAAAACAGTAGAAATGATTGGGAGACATGTCCGTCRTAGAGAGAAATACTCATGCACTGGGCTGTACTATATTACTACCAATAAAAAGTACTTTTTGCATTTTAGTAATTTGGAATAAATAGACGTAATTTAGGTCAGTCATGATCCTTTTAGATAATGCTTATTACTTTTCTCCTCATTTTTCTCTCTTCCAGGTAAAATTTCAGGACCAAGAAGTGATAGTCCGTGAAGGAACAGAAGGAAACACGTTCTACATCATCCTCAAAGGCGAGGTAGCTCAAATCCAGGGTCTAAATTTCAGATTTTCTCCACACACACCGTGCACATTTGATCTTCTTTTGCTCTAATGTGCGAATCTCCTCTCAGGTGCTGGTGACCAAGAATGTGAACGGACATCAAAAGATGATTCGCAGGATGGGAAAAGGGGAGCACTTCGGGGAGCAGGCGCTCATACGGTAAACATGGAACCGTAACTCAGCYCTAACTAATTTTTTTTCCCTCTAGAACCTTTGAGGAGCATCCGCGGCTCTGTGCACACTTCCTGCTGCCAATGCAACAGGACTGATGGACGTAGATTATTTATTTATAAAATGCATGAAGAAAACMACACAGCAGAATAAATGACAGCGTTTCAGCTGCAGGAATAAAATATTTGTTTAATAAACCCAAAATCATCAGTATTCTCATGTTTTTCTGTTTTGTGAAGCTTCCCAAAAGGCAAACAAATGCATGCATTTCAGTTATTCAACACGCACATCCATTAGATATGATTTTAAAACATATAGAATACTTTGATTTTCAAAATAAAATACTGCTTTAATGAAATCACTTTGGGCCAGTGTTGAGTAATCTCACTCTGTTTTATTAATCATCTTTCTGAACTTTAATCAATGTGTCTCAAGTCTATTTTTTTAGGTTTTCACCTGTGTGTATGTTCTGGTGATGCATGCAGTTGCAAATGAATTTTTGTGTTTATCTTCCTGCAGGGAGATCCTGAGGACTGCCACCTGCACTGCTGACGGCCCTGTTACATGCTTCTCCATAGACAAGGAGTACGTTTGAAAAAAACCCAGAATTTATTCATTCAAGCTCTGAACAGAGCAATATTTGCAGTCTCTGTTGTGTTTTCAGTGATCCCCCACAGCCTGAAAATGTTTTTGCTGTTTTAGGGTTTTTGAAGAGACAATCCCCGTGGAGCACCTGGAACTGTTCGACGAGTACGTATCACCAAACCTGTCAGGATTATGAAGTCTATTATATTACAGATATAAAGTCCTATAATCCTATTTTTGTTGTATAAAAGAATTATCTCCAACAAAGCTTTCTAATACATTATTTTATCAATTGAAATTATTGAAATTCTATGATTTGGTTTACTTATTTAATTTAAAAATGTATTTATTTCTTTAAAAACAAAATTAATTCTATATACAATTGAAGAATTTTTTTAAATAAAAATTATAGTATTTTATTGGTTACGTATAAGGCTCAAAAAACATATTACCTTTAAGCATCCAATTAAATTTTGAGAAATTTATTATTATTTTAAGGGGATAGAGATGTTGCGAAACCTAAATTTCGAACCAGTTTGAAGGAACAGTGTTAATCCAAGGAGTAAATTATGGAATAATCTGGAGAGCGATGTTAAAAATGCCAGAATGATAAAAGTAGGTTTGTTGAAGAAATATGGAATAGTATAATGTGTATGTTTGTTGTTTGAGAAGAAGTTGATGTTGTTTGTTTTTATTTGTAGATTAGTWTTGTCTGAATTTAGATTTTTGGAAAATATGGGGCAGATACATTTTATTTTATTTGTGAATTGTATTTTTTTTATTGCATATATATAATTTATTCTGCTCTCACTTGGTCTTGTTGTGTTTTTTTAACATCTAGCTCCAAAGTGATGCAGGAGGCTCAAGCTCCAGAAAAGTCGAGGTGAGAAACTGAAAGACCGATGAGACCATGTGAGACCTCTGTACACAAACTTAGTTTTCTAGGTGTCCTTTGATCGTTTAGTGCTCTTAGTATGTGGTGGGGGTGACTCTCAGCTACTGCCACAGCAAATTTTAGCTCAWTGTTTGGAAAAYTGACAGTTATAATCATTTTAGTGTTTGCCAAAATGGATTACCCCCCCTCGGTTGTTCCAAAACAAAATTTTGTTGTGCTCTGTACAATGACAAATAAAGGCATTTTCTGATTTTATTTGATCTAATTGCACAGCATACCTTCAGTTTTATTATTGAAAGATCATTTTGTTTGTTCATCTATCCAGTATTTCATTTTTGAGTGTTTTATTGTTTTATGGAATTCAGATTTTTTGCTATTTTAGTCACTTACTTTCTTATCATGTGTTCGATTGATTGTACAGATATTTAGTCAAATAAGTTTTTTTTTTCAAATAAGATTGAAATAAATTCATATATAAAATAAAGATTAACCCAACTGAATAAAAATGCCACAAATTAGCTTTATCAAATGGGTTAAAATGTTTTTCTCTCAGTCTCAGCTCYTCTTTGAAGTTCAAGGATCTGGTTCCAGTCTTTTATCAGGAGGGGCGTCATCAGGGGGATCCCGTCACACTCGGAGTGGGAGGGTTTGGTCGTGTGCAGTTGGTGAGTTGYGTTGTGTTTTACTCAACAACGCTTTGCGATCTCATTAGCCTAAGTCAAAAATAGTGATGATTGTTTTTTTGATATTCGTAGATGACCACAATAACTCATGGTAAATACTACGCCATGAAGCGAGTCAGCAAGAAGCAAATCGTTGCAAAGAGACAAGAAGAGCACATGCTGTTTGAGAAGAAGATCCTCAAAGCGATCCAGTGTGACTTCATTGTCAAGTATCTGCTGAACTTTGTAATCTTTTCAAAATATCATGTTCCAGCTGATTGCACACCGTGTCTAAAAATATTGTCTTTGTTTTGTTATCTTTAGACTTTATGCAGCTTTTAAAGACACGAGGTATATCTACATGGTGATGGAGTTCTGTGGAGGAGGAGAGATCTGGACCAAACTTAAAGAAGTGTAAGGAACATTAAAGGGCCTGTGACATCAGATTTTTGTAATAAACATTAATGCGATTTTTGGAAGAATAACATTGATAACGTTGCAAAAACAAATTTCACGCMGCTGAGATGAACGGTTGTTGAGRTATTTGCATGTGAAGAAACAGGAAGTGATGTCAAAGGGGAATGTCTGCATGCAAACAGAGCGTTGTTACAACAGCCAACAACACAGACTGTAGRGAAGAATCTGATGTTCCTTTARATTATTTTGAGTCATTATCAAAGAGAGACAATGATAGAGTTGCAGTTCAAATAATTTTRTTTTACGAAACAAAGACCAGAGAGTTTACTTTATTAATGAGTTCCCCTTTGATGTCACTTCCTGTTTCATTTTGGCTGAGCCAAATTCAAAAGAAAATATGCCAGTTATGYKACAAAATGGGTAAAATCATGTGTAATATGCCAGTTTTCTCAAGTATAAATGTTTTCTTTGACTTTTTGTATTTGAAGGATAGGTGTGTCACAGGCACTTTAAAGAACAGCTAGAATTTTTGAGACCAAACTAGATAAAATCACAACAAATATGAAACCTGTTTTAGAGATTGAACTTTTCTGTAAGATTTGTGAGTTTTATTGGTTTTAAAACACACTTTATTGCATTTCGAGGTCACCACTTATAAAAATAAAAACGATTCAACCCTGTGTCGCAACCAGAGGGCGCTTCGATGAGACGGTCACCGTGTTCTGCACCGCCTGTGTGGTGGAGGCCTTCGCCTACCTCCACAAGAAGAGCATCATGTACAGAGACCTGAAGCCGGAGAACCTGATGCTGGACATGAGAGGCTACATCAAACTGGTGCGTCCTGAAATGTCCTGAAGACATTTTAAATTCTAACTAGAGAATTTGCATTTCCTGTGGAAAATGCAGTATGAATGGTTAATGCAGATTTTTTTTTGAAAGCTGCTGTAGAAGCTGAAAATGTTTAACAGCAAAACTGGATGTGAGTTAAGTTTGAACAGCTGACATTTGCTGAAAGTAGGTAAACAAAAGTAGACAGAAACAAGTTGAAATTAGCAGACAGATGGTGAACAGAGAATAAAAAGCTGACATTGGCAGAAAAACAAGGAAAAGAGTAAAAATAGCTAAAGCAGCTRAAATACGCACAAAAATAGATTAAAAAGTAGCTGAAAAGCTTAAATTTGCACAAAGATGCAGAAAAAGCACAAATGTTGAATTAGGCAGTAAGAAAATCACAAAATGTTGTAGTGAAAAAATGAATTAGCTAAAATTGCCACAAAGTGGCTAAAAAGGCAAAAAAACACAACTATGATTAGCAAAAATCAGCTAAAAGAAGCATAAAAACTTAAATTAGCAGAAAAAATGGACAAAAGCCTGAAATCTTTAAATTAACATAAGAATAGCTGAAGAGGCAGAAAAAAGCTAAAATTAGCAACAATAAAAAAGKTTAAGGAAGCTGAAATTAGCACAAAGAAGCTGAAAAAAGCAGGATTATAACAAAATTAAAGTAAAGATTTTAAATGGTTTTAAGCTGCTGAAAATAACTAATTTATTTCAATGAGGGGAAAAAACAGCAATAAAAGGTGAATAGTTCAAGTTACTGAAATACTATGGCATAAATGAGCTGAATATTTTATGAATTATTAAACTGATTCTGAAAAATGTGCAGCACAAAAATGGATCATTTAACATCATTCACAATATTGAAACGATCCACTAAGCCAACGTTAACTAAACCAACATTAAGCATATGGACACGTCTAATAATATAAATATGATAAATAATCWTATTTGTGTGGCAATCTTTACTTAGGTCGACTTTGGTTTTGCGAAGGAGTTGATGCGAGGCGAGAAAACGTACTCTTTTGTCGGCACTCCTGAGTACATGGCTCCAGAGATTATCAAGAACCAGGGCCACGACTTTGCAGTTGACTTTTGGTCCCTGGGCATCCTGATCTTTGAACTTTTGGTGGGAAGGTAAGACACTTTAGACTTATGTCTCAAAAACTTATCTAAATGACCTTGCACACATTTAAAATCACTCAGGTTTGTTTATTTAGAGCCAGAAAGACATTGTAGCTTTAATGTAGACCAGCAGGTGGCAGAAGAGATGTACGGTTGCAGCTGATTGTTGAACATTTAAAGACATAAACATGACAACTCTTTTCTAATTTTGTTTATTTATTATTTTATTTCAAATTTGCCAGCCCACCGTTTTCAAGCTCAGAGCCCCATAAGATTTACACCAAAATCTTGGACGGGGTGCTAAAGTATCCACCTTACATGAGTGAGGCATCCAAGTCCATCATCAGTAAACTGTGCAGGTAAGAAGACTTTAGTTTGTAGAAATAAAGAGAGCTATAAATAATTTCTCATAAATTGGAAGTGGATTGCACAAATTTGAAGTTAATGCAGTTCATTCAGTCATCTCAGAGACATGAATTATGAATCCTGCCTGCAGATAAAAACATCCCTACACACTGAGATGCTCCTGCATTTTCATGGTGGCTCATGATGTGTTTGGGTGGCATCTCCTCTCTCTGACTGCTGTTTGTTTTCAGACCTCGGCCTGGTCAGAGGTTAGGGAACACYAAGAATGGGATCAAAGACATCCGGCATCACAGGTAACCATGGCAACTTGTCATCTATCTCGGGCCGAGTCCAGAAAAGATGAATAAAAGTTGTTTGGTCACTCACCACTGCCTGCGCTGTTTATTAGCCACTTAAATGACATTTGAATCACCACTCAACTGAGTGATCAGAGTAATTTATAAAGTGTTTTAAAGGGCCTGTGACATCAGATTTTTGTAATAAACATCAATGCATTTTTGGAAGGATAACATTGATAACATGTGGCAAAATAAATTTCACGCCGCTGAGATGAACGGTTGTTGAGATATTTGCATGTGAAGAAACAGGAAGTGATGTCAAAGGGGAATGCCTGCATGTAAACAGAGCGTTGTAACAAACGCTAACAACACAGACTGTAGAGAAGAATCTGATGTTTCCTTAGATTATTTTTAGTCGCTATCAAAGAGAGATGAATAATTGTTAAAGTTTAAATAATTTTGTTTTACTAAACAAAGACCGGAGAGTTTATTTTATTAATGAGTTCCCCTTTGACGTCACTTCCTGTTTCACTTTGGCTGAGCCAAATTCAAAAGAAAATAGGACAGTTTTGTGACAAAATGGGTAAAATCATGTGTAATATGCCAATTTTCTTAAGTATAAAGATGTTTTCTTTGACTTTTTGTATTTGAAGGATAGGTGTGTCACAGGCACTTTAAGTGTTAAAGTTAAAATAGCATCACAACTTTGCGTATGTATGTCCACGTTTTTGGGTATGAATCAGGTATTTTGCCGCTAATTTCTTTTGTCTTTTCAGTCTACATTTTTTGACTTTGTATCTGTGAGACTGTATATTTAGCTATTTACGTTTTTCAGGTGGTTCAGCAATATGAACTGGCACAAGCTGCGCATGGGTCAGCTTGACGCTCCAACAGTCCGACTCATACGCAAGGCGAGTCAGAAACACATTTTTATCACTTTCTTATGTTTATATGAGAAAAAGAACCTGAGTTAAYAAAAGAAGAGACTGTAGTTGGTTTACTGGAGATCTCTTTGGGTTATTTTATGCTTTGATTAAAATTAAAAAGTGTACTTCAAGCTGACTGGAACCTTGGTGCATAGTTAATTAGATTATTTTTCTTTTCCACTAGTGTTGAGCAAAAACATTGTAATCAAGGGTTAGTCATAAACAGTGTCACAGATCTGTTTGGATTTTGTAGACTATTAAATCAAATCAATTTCTTTTATTTATTGAATCACTTCATACAATAAGGTGTAACATAAAGAAAATTCTGAACACTTACAGAAGATAAAAGAAAAAATACTAAAAGGAAACAWAAACTGTAAAACCAAAGAAGAAAGATACAGTATCAACAGTAATTTCGTACAGCGAGAGGCAAAAAAGGACCAACATGTCTGTGCCATATGTAAAATAAAACATTAAAAAATGTCACCAGCCTGTTTTCTGAGCTCTTTCTGAGTGTAAAATAGTTTAAAAATTTCTCACTGTTCTTACATTTTGCTAATTTTTGCTAAATGTTAATTTAAATGTTATGCGTTATGTCTTATTTAAATGTATAAATCTAAATGTAAAAATTAAAGCTTAAATGTTGCAGCTGCATTATGAAGTTGACATTTATGACTTTCAGAATGGAACACAGCCATTGTAGTGGGTGCGGCTTTTGATGTGACGTCATCATCCTGTGACTTAACCAACTGCGAATGCTGCTAACACTGCTAACGCTGATAATGCTGCTAATCCTGCTGATATTGCTGAAGATGGCATATGGACAGTCCTTGTGGTCCGGCAGTTTGAGTTGCAGCTTGACATTCCCCGCAACTGCAAGTTTGAAGTCTTGTAAAGAAGTGTTAGCAGCGTTAGCGTTTGCTTATGTCCCAGGATGATGACATCATAACAAGAGCTGAGCACCAACAACAAAGGCTGTGTTCCATTCCAAAATACTTAAATGTAAACTGTTGAATTTAGCTATAGCTATATTTAAACATCTTGTAAAAATGAGCAAAACGTAAGAGCAATGAGCTAAATAACATAGYCAATCCATCCACAGATTCATGTGTTTTTTTGCTAACAGACTGACAAACAACTCACACAATTAACCACTTTTACTAACAGCCAGTGATAGGAATGTAAATGTTTCAAACTACACTATAAGTTATGTGTAGCATTTTTTAAAAAGCATAAAACCATTTTATAGAACACCCGGAGTCCTGTATGTTGTTCCTAATTTAACAAAATTACTTTCCTTTTTCAGGGTCCCAGCTACATCAACTTTGATCAGTTTCCTCAGGACCACACGAAGGCGGATGAGGAGCTCTCCGGCTGGGACCGTGACTTCTGACTCTCCCGTTTGGGGTTCTAAAATCAAAGACACAGCTTTTGCCAAACAGCATTTTAAACTGTTCTTCACACCAGTTAATAGTGAAACTGCAGGGAGGCCCTTTAACAATATGTCCTGACGTTCCTCCTCRCTACTCTGAAACACGCAGCAGGTGTTGAGACGCGCTGTGAGGAGAGTGTGTCCCTGACAACGAAGTGTTAAATTCACATAACACTCTTCAGTGATCCTCAAAACCCCACTCAGCAGGTGAAAACTGAGAACAAATGTTTTTAGCATAAAAATATTCTCGTGTGTGTTTTTTATGTTCCTTGTTCTTTTGGATGAAAATGCAGGATATGAAAAAGCTGCCTGATGCTTTAATAGTCATAAAGTTGTTTATTATAAACTCTCTTATTTTTTTTCTTCATGTTTTGATAAAAGTGTCATAAATCATCCTGGTCAGGAGGCTTGTGGGATTCAGTCATATTAGCTTTAAAGCCCAATGTGAACAGGTTCAGGTGCTGTGATCAAATCTCAGCAGTGGAAGTATTTGAAGATTAGATGTGTTGCGGTGAACAACACATCAGGAAACTGACCTGTAACTATAAGGAGCTTAACTCTGGTGTTTGACAATAGCTGCAGCTGATGGTTGAGCTCTGGAGGTGYGCAGCTGCGTGGCGTGGCAGCAGGTTCCGAACCATCGTGTTCCCTCCCTGCTCATGCGTGCTCTGCGCCTGCTAAAAGTAGTTTTCCATATTAGAGAGTTGCGAGAAGGTAAACAGATTTTCTGGTGGGAAAAGACGCTCCAGCAGATGTTTCCTTCCTGGGAAAAAAGGGGAGAGAGAAAAAAAAACAAAACACTTTGAGGTGTTGAGTGTGATGATGAGAGAAGAGGCCCAGAGGAAACTCCATATGGAATCACAGTCTTCGCAGTAAAGGGCGCTTTCCTGTTCCTCTGCAGGTAGAGTTGAGGTTTGTTTGGAGCTCAGATGTTTGTGACAGGAGTAAACAGGATAAAACTGATGTAAGTCATTTTAAAAACAAATCTGAATTCTCATTTCAGTAATGTGTGAGTGTTGATTCAGCATTTACATCTTTGTCCTGTTTCTTATTTTCCAGAACATTCTTTTACAGACGTCAGCATATTTAGAGCTATTTTAGCTGTTAAAATATCAAAACTTTCAGCTTATTCAGGAGATGGGTGACATGACTTTTAGCTTTTGTAACTTTTATACAAAATAATTCATTTTAATTCATAAATATTTTCCCCATAGAAATACATTAGACATTCCTCAAGTCCTTCACCATCACTCATATAATTTATTCATTTAAATTATTTATTTTTGCTTCAGGAT